CAGGACTGCAGCAAGAGAGGAAATCGGGGAGCCACTTGGGAGAATGCAAGACACTTATGCCCAGGGAGACCGGATACAGTTGCGTCCGATGACTTGGGGATGTGGCAGACTTTATCACATAGGCGATTCACTGCGTGGTCCAGCAAGCCGGAGGAGCACAATCAGAACGGCACCGACAAGCAGCACCTCTTTTTTTTTTTCTGACGAAGAAGAATCCCACCAGCCCTCTGGGCGCAGGTGGTCTAGGGCGTTTCCGTTTCCAACCTCCTGCCTGTCCCTGCTCGGGAGGTTTACCTCCCCCTCGTGCCTGCGTTTGGACGGGGGGGGGGACGGACCCATAGCAGCGTCCAAGATGGCCCAAGATGGCTCCAAGAGGGCCTCCGAGAGCGCAACATGGCCTCCAAGATAGCCCAAGATAGCGGTAGACGGGTCAAGATAGCCTCCGACACGCGTCCAAGAGGCCTCAAAACGGTCCCAAGACGGTTCCAAGTGCCCTCCGAGGCCTCCAAGGACCCCCCCAAGGAGCCAAATCCTTCAAACATTTAAGGGAAATCAATGTTCTTTGTCTTCTCGCTTTTTCGCCTCCGAAGGGCTCTTGAGGCCTCAAGATGGCCCCAAGATGGCCCAAGACAGCCCCACAGGGGCCCAATAGAGCCCCAAGACGGCCCCAAGAGCGCCCAAAAGCGCTCCAAGAGCGGGCCGAAAAGGTCTCAAGACGGCATGTTTGAGCCTCCGAAGGGGGGGGCAAGAATTGCCCCCCCCCCCTCCCCTCCTTCGTTAGCAATAATAACCAAGACGGCCCCGAGAGGCCTCCCAGAACCCCCCCAAAGAGCCCCAAGAGGGCTCCAAGACCCTCTAAAAGAGCCCCAAGAGGGCCCCAAGAAGGCCCCAAAAGAGCCCCAAGAAGGCCCTAATAGGACCTCAAGAGAGCCCCAAGAAAGAGCCCCAGGAGGCCCCAAGAGGGGCCCAAGAGAACCCCAAGAGGGCCCCGAGAGGTCTCCAAGTTTCGGAACTCACGCGGGCTTAACATACAAATCAGTGCAACAGCCATTACGAGTCATCGAAATACCCCTCACCTATCATCGGTGCACCATCGTAACTCGAACTGATTTCTACCTTAAACTTCAATGCGGGAAGCTATGTGTGATGCTTGTGTTCTCGAAGACGGCTGCGCGACTGCATGCGTTATGCCGCCCCTGATTCCCCCCCCCCCTGCTGATCGTTTCTTAATGGGCTGGTGGGGGTACGCGAAACGTCAATAATATCGCTACACACTATGCCTGAGGACGGAAAAGGGTGCCCACATCATGCACGTAAAATCGGCAGCAAGAACTTATTCAAGACTCTGGCGGGTAAATGTGACGGATTGGCGCCAGAACCAGGACATGAGGGACTCCAGCCAGAGTTCCGCACGAGAGCAGCTCACGATCTCCTACCAGCTTAACTACGAGGGTGCGCGGCTGGATCTCCCCAGGGGGGTGGGGGGTTGGAACACCCTCCCCCCCACCCCTTCCCCGATCCGTCGTCGGGGACCCCCCCCCCTCCCCCTCCTTCCCCGATCCGTCGTCGGGGACCCCCCCCCGTCCCCCCTTTCCCAGATCCGTCGTCGGGGACTCCCCCCTCTCCCCCCCTTTTAAAAAGAGGGGGGGGGGGTTTGGACCGCCCCCCCCCCCCTCCCCCCCTTTGGCGCCCCCCCCCCCCTCCCCTCCATTCGCCACGCCGCCCCCTGACTCCCGAACCCGACCCCCGCTACCCTTACCCCCAGTCCTCACCCTAACCCAAACCCCTAACCCGAACCCCAACCACTAACCCCAGCCCCAAAGAGTACTCACTACTCATTACTCACTGCCCACTACTGACTACTCGCTATTCACTACTCACTTCTCACTACCCACTACTCACTACTCGCGACTCAGTACTCATTATCCACTACTCACTACCCACCACCCACTACTCGCTTCTCACTACTCCCTACTCACCACTTCCTCCTCCCTACTCCCTACTCACTACTCGCTCCTCACTACTCATTACTCAGTGCTCACTACTCACTAAGCACTACTCACTACTCCCTACTCACTAATCACTACTCATTACCCACTACCCACTATCCACTACTCATTGCCCACAAATCACTACTCACTACCCACTACTCGCTACTCCCTACTCCCTAGACAATACTGACTACACAGTACTCAGTACTCACTATTCGCTACCCCCATACTCGCTACTCGATACTCACTACTGACTCCCCGCTACTCACTACTCACTACTCACTACTCACTACTCCTTACTCACTAGTCACTACATAATCTCTAGTCACTAGTCACAGGGCACTAGTCACTAGTCACTACTCACTACCTACTTATCGCTACTCACTAATCGCTACTCACTACCCACTTCTTACTACTCACTGCTCACTACTTCCTACTCCCTACTAGCTACTCGCTACTCCCTAGTCGTTACTCACTAATCACTAATCACTACCCACTACTCACTACTGACTACTCTCTACTCACTACTCCCTACGCCCTACTCGCTCCCACTACCCACTACTCGCTAATCCCTACTCGCTACTCACTACACGCTACCCACTGCCACTACCCACGACTCTCTACTCATCACTACGCACTACTCACTACGCATTACGTAGTACTCAGTACTCAGTACTCCGTACTCAGTACTCACTACTCACTACTCGCTACTCTCTACTCACTACTCTCTACTCACTACTCACTACTCACTACTCACTACTCACTACTCACTACGCACTACGCACTACCCACTACTCACTACCCACTACTCACTACCCACTACCCATTACTCCCTACTCTGTACTCACTACTCACTACTCGCTACTCACTACTCACTACTCACTACTCGCCACTCACTACGTACTTATCAGTACACACTACTCACTATTCACTACTCACTACTCCCCACCCATTTTCCCTACTCCCTTCTCGCCACTCACTACCCACTACTCACTACCCAATACTCACTACTCACTACGCACTAACGCACTACTCACCACTCCCTACTCCCAACTCCGTACTCCCTACACACCTTCTCTGGCGCAGAAAGGAAAAGCGAGAGAGGCCCCCCCTCCCTGGCTACCTTTCCGGCGCAAAGGGGGGGAGGGGGGGGGTCCGACCCCCCCCCCCCTTTCCAGCGCCAAAGGGGGAAGGGGGGGGGGGGGTCCGGACCCCCGCCCCCCCTTCAAGGGAGGGGAGGGGGTTAGGGACCCCCCCCCTCCTTAAGGGGGGGAGGGGGGGAGGGGGTTCCGGACCCCCTCCCCCCTTTAAGGGGGGGAGGGGGGGGGGTTCTGGACCCCCCCCCCCCTCTAGTGTATTCAGGGAGATCCAGTGGCGCACGTTCCTTAACTACCACAAGCATGGAGTAGGAGATCGTCGGGAGGCTGAGGTCCAGAGTGCGGCTACAGCATCGGCTACGAGAACACACGCCCCTCCAGGAGGTAAACTCCTTGATTGTCCTCGGTGTTTCAATGGTTTCAGCGTTCTCGCCATGTCGGACATCCGGCGCTCCAAGACGGGCCCATAGGCCCCCAAAATCGCCCCAAGACGGCCCAAGAGGCTCCCAAGAGGCCCGCAAGACGTCACAAGAGGGCCCCAAGACAACCCAAGAACCACCCAAGACGGCCCCAGTCCTCCAAGACCGCCGTAAAGCGTGTCCCAATATGGCCTCCGAAGGCCAAGAGGTCCCACAGAGGCCCCCAGAGGCAACCAAGTGGTCCCCAAGAGGCCCCAGGAGAACCCCAAGAGGCCCCAGGAGGCCACCGGGAGGCCCCTTGGAGCCCCCCCAAGGCTCCCAGGAAGCACCCAGGAGACCTCAAGAGGGCATCAAGAGGCCTCCGCTTCTTCCTCCTCCTCCTCCTCCTTCTCCCCCCTCTTCCTCCTTTCTCTTCCTTCCCCAATGTTCCCCCAGGGGGTTCAAAAACGGCTGGGGGAGCAACTAGTCCAACAACTTGGCCAGACGTCGGCCCTACGTTTGGCCGCAGGGGCGTCTCCAGAAGGCAGGGCGCGGCGGTGATTCGCCGCAGGCACCTCAGACAGCCCTCACGATGAACTTTTTGCTGGGGTAATTTAGTCTTAGGTCGGGCCTGTCCCCCTACAGAGAGATTTTGGACGAATAATAAATAATCAAACAAATATTCAAAAACATGCGCTCAGTCGACGCATCCATTGTCCTCTTTCCCTGCGTCTCCGTCGTCCCCTTTCCCTGCGCCCTCGTCTTCAAGCCTGCCAGCGAGAGAAAACAGTAGCAACGTCATACTTGAGTCGAAGGGAAGCCCCTTCCCTTTGATCCCTCCCCCGCCGAAGGGGAGGGTCCCGGGGGTCAGATACGCATCCGCCACTGGGCGTCCCGGAGCCCCAGAAAGCGCCAAAACGCGCCGCCAAGAGGGCCCCGAGCAAGCCCAAGAAGAGAACCACGAACCGACATTTCACACTTCCCGCCCCGAGAAGCCCCCGGAAGGCCCCCAGCGCCCCTTAAGGGGCCCGAAGAGGCCCCCAAGAGACCCCGAAGGGGCCCAACAGAGGCCCCAACAGGCCCGAAAACATCCAAGAGGCCTTTCAACCACAACCCCAGCACGGTAGCAGGAAGGGCCGCAGGCCACACGGCTTCCTGTCTGTCTCTGCTACGACTCCCTCGGCCCACATGGGGAACATCTCCTTCGCCTTCTCCTGCTCCCTTCCACCTTAATCCCCCCTCCTCCTCCTCCTCCTCCTCCTCCTCCTCCTCCTCCTCCTCGTATTCGCCGTCGTCATCTTCAGGGTCGGCCGCACCAGCCATGAAGCCTTAGCAATATCCCAAAACACTCAAAAATTGTAAAACAAAAATCGCCCCAAGACTATTTTTGACTATTTTTGAATTTTCCCCCTCTAGAGGAACAGGCCCGTTTCAAATCTGGTCATCGACCAAAGACGACCATGACCACGACGACCACGACGACCACGCCGACGACGACGAGAACGGCGGCGGGCCAGGGTGCTGGAAGCCGTGCCACAGCAGCGCGGCGCACACCGGGTGCAGGACGGGTGCCTGCGTTCTCGGGGTGTGTGGGCCGACGATGAGACGAAACCACGGCCCCAGGTGGCGGATCGAATCGCATCGAATCGGATCGTAGGCAGCCCTGCCGGGCCAGAAAAGCTGGACAAGATTTCAGGAGGTGAGGGAGGAGGGGGTGTTCCTTCTCGTCCCATTCCCTCTCGGCTTCCCTCCCCATCCCTTTCTTCTCCTGGTCCTCATCCTATCCCTCCTCCAACTGATCCTCATCGTTGCCACTCCTCATCTCCTCTCTTGCCACCCACATGCAGAGAATATGGTTCCTTCCGCATCCTCCTCAGCGTGGCGAGGGTTTTCTAAGAGGAAGGAAGAGGACGAGGAAACCCGATATGCCACCGCAGGCCCACAGAGGGCTCAAGGAGGCCTCCCGAGAGGGGAAAAAGCTAGTGGATCATGGCTCTTGGTTGGTCTGGTGGAAGTGGAGTCAAAACGTGCCCACAAGAACGCGGGGGGAAGGACCCGAACATTTTCGCCGAAGGTCCAACGCCCCATGGATATAACAAAACGAACATTCCAAGGTGGATAGCCCGACTGTGAAGAACATCAGGATACCACCGTGAAGCTACAGTTGATCTGAACCCTCGTGCCGATGTATGCGGAGTGGAAACAACTTACCACATTGAGCAACTCAACCTTGATGTGGCAATTGTGATAATGGCGGCGCCGGGGTAATTAACGCCACGTTGGGCCCCCGAGGCGCGAATCTGTAGCTACCCCTGACCGCCCCCAGCGCTGATGATTCTCGGGCGTTGGCAAACCTGGGTTTACTAGGACCTGGTTTAGTGATCTGTACCAGGGACGCCCCCCCGTCCCATGCTACTAACCAGAATTGCCGTGAACCTAAAAAGCACCAGCTACGGCAGACCTGGCTTGGTGATTCTGGCCAATTTGAAGGCGCTGAGGCCCTACTACTGACCGAGTCCCCTTACCTGGGGTCCTGGGTATACCCCAGATTCGTAAGGAATCGAACGATATACACCGACGCTTCCTCCGGCCCTGCTCTGGAATTTGCACTGGAGAGCGGATCTGGGTGTATACGGGACCCTGGTGTATACATTTTTCGTTGTTTCCCAGGGACATCGGGGAGACAGTATACACCACACCACTCCAGCGTCGTCCTCGACCCTCAGGAAACCCTGGGATTTGAAAAGCAGCCCGCCACTGGTGATGTATATGTTCCAGTTTCCGAATTCGGAACTCCGAGCACAGGCACAGCACCCACATTGTCTAACCGCGCTATCTGGCACCTAGCCTACCAGCATCTGGCACCCAGGAATTAACGTTCATAACTGAATAAAGTCCTCGCGTGTCGTCCTCGCCAGAGGTGGTACCGCCCATGGAATCCTCGCCCTAGGCCCCGGCTTGCCCCGCCCCGCTGCGCTCCCGGGCCGGCCGCCCGCCTCCGCGGCGGCCAGCGGCTGAAGCGCGCTGAACCCGCCGTCCTCTGGGGGCCGCCGCGGCCCCCTCGGTCCGAGGCGGGGCGGGGCAGATATGGGGGTTACATGCGAACCCTCCCCCTACCCCCCACGATTTCTGAGGGGGAGGGTGGGGTTCGCATGTGGCCCCCCAACAGAGGACCCCTGAGACCTGTCGGCGGTGAGCAGGGGTACTCCAAATCCCTTCTGAATCGCCCCCCCCCCCCCCCTAAAAATCCAGACCCCCCCTCCAAATGCGACCTGATATTCCGGATCCCCCTCTTCGACGGGGAGCCGTAATAAACCAGACCCCCTAAGCTCCAATCCAAAGAAAGCGCCCTAATAAACCGGACCCCCCTCAAATACATAAAGGCGCCTTAAAACCGGACCCGTGGGACGATTAAGAAGGGATTTGGAGTGGGGGGGAGGGGGGAAGGCTTCTCAGGAGGAGGCTGCTGCTAAGAAGGCGCCGGCCCCACAACTATGGAAGGCTGCTGCTGCTGCTCAGAAGGCGCCGCCGGGGAAGGACCCGCGCCTTCTGAGAGGCAGCCTCCTTCCAAGAAGAATTCCCCCCTCACCCTAAGATTACCCCTCTTCTGCGCGTGGCCGACTCTAGGCGTCGTGAGAGAACGAACGGCAAAACACACACACAAACACAAACACACACACACACACACACAAACACACACACAAACACACCGAAACCTCCCGTCGTTTTTTTGGTCACGTTGGTGTCCGACTCGAAGATGAGGCTCTTGAGTGGAGGACGGTGGGGGACAAAAGAGGGGCTGACGAGACACGTCTCGGACACATCGCTCGATGGCCTCACGAGAAGAACCCTGGTCACGGTGGGTCGGCCGCGCCCCCATCGGCGATGGGCCATGGCCACTCTGCGCCAGCGACCTCTTCATGCCGCCCCCCGCATGCAGCACGTGCCAGGCCAGACCGATCTGCGACGGCCTCCTGGGTCAGCGGGCAAGATCGGTCAGAATCGAATCGGCAAATGGGACCGAATCGGAACCTGCGCCGGATCGGGCTGCATCGAAACGGATCTGAGGCAAAAATCCGATCGGCCGCGCCAGGATGCACCACAACGCCAGGCAAACATCGGGCCGCATCGGATCGTCAGGATGACATCGAGATCGAATTGGATCGAACCAACCAGAACCTATTTCAAATCGAAATGGGTCCTGTGTCGGGCCGAACTTATCTGTGATGGCCCCGTCGGCTGGAGACGTGGCCACGAAGCCTGCCGTGACTCTCTCACGACGTCCGCGGCTGAAGTCCGAGAGTCCTCGAACTTCTGGCATGGGGACACCAAAATTTACCGATACCGCTACCCCCTGGACCTCTTCCAGGGTGCGTTCCGACGAAGGCCTCCAAGGAGGCCCAAAAAGGGGAAAACGGGCGAGGGGGTAGAGGTATGGGCACCATTTCCTTATCTGATGGCAAACCTGAGCTGGACCAAATCGCAAAATCGGACCGGAAACGGATCGGATCGCCAACGGATCGCCCCGAATCGCATCAAGACCGGAGCGCCGCGCCGGGCTTCGGCCGGCCCCAGCCGGTGCCGCGGACTCGAATAGGGGGCCAGAACCCGATCGAATCGAAGCACACCCGCAGCCCCAGACGGCGAATCGAAGCACATCGGATCGCGCCGCAGGCTGCCCTCGCGTGGTCGGTCTGCGGGGCGCGCGAGCCCGGTCTCCCGCGACGCTGGACGATGCTGAGCTGCCCGGGTGGCTCTCGACGGGGCCCAGCTGGCGGAAAATACAGTCGGGGCGTTGACCTAAGGAACCCTAAATAAGGAGCGAGGCCCCTTTTTTCCATAAGTTAACCTTCGATTTCCGGTCGAAAACATCAGAAAGCCTGAGGCAAGCTGTGAAACACTTAAGGAACGCGGAGCCCCTCCCCAACGAAAAGGGTTCCTTCTTCAGGGCCCCGACTGTAACCAGGACCTTCCAGGAGCCGCCGAGAGCACCTGGAGACTTTCCAGCGGACGGCGGCAACAACAAGTGAAATAACGGCATGGTCGCATGGAGCTTTCGAGAGTCCGCGCGGATTCCTTGGATGGACGCTGGACCCCCCCCCGCACTGGCATGCGGAGCGCGCCAGGGGCGGCGCGGGAGGCGCTGCCAGGGGGTACAGATCCAAGACATCCGCGAGGGAGCGAGCGAGCCACCAATGCGGAGCGTCCTCTGGGCCTACCTTTGGCTTAGGTCGGGCATGTTCCCCTACAGGGGGATTTTGGAAGAAATTGAAAATACAACAAAATTGCCCAAACATATTCAAACGATTACTCAAAACAATGCCCCGACTATTTTTTGACTTCCTTGAATACTCCTCCTGTAGAGGGACAGGCCCGACGTAACCTTAGGCTAGGCGGGCGGTGCCGCGGCCTATCTCTCTCTCTCTCATTCCACTCGTACAGTAGTCGGCCTGACCTAAGGAACGATACATAAGAAACGAAGCCCCCTTTCCCCAAGTAAGTCTGCGAAGTCCGAAAGTGCACCAAGGGGGGCTCGCCGCCAAAAGGTAGCGGAACGCGTGCAAACCAAAAGAACGACCGAGCCCCTTTTGAAACGTAAGTGTCTTTTATTCAAGCCGGACCCTGTACTTCTGTCAATGGGAAACATGCGGTCCATCTGCCACCGTGCCCTGAGGCACGAATTCCCCGAGGGCCCCGAGCCCAAGCGTTTGTTTGAGGAGGGGGAAAAGGATGAGAAGGAGGGACAGAATGGGTGGGGAGCTTGGTAGGAAGAAGAGAAGCCCCTGCCCAGCACCGACGCCGGTGCGACTGCTGCTACCTGTTGTGAGCTGGTTGTCGGTTGTGCGTAGTTGTGTGCTGCGCTGTTGCTTGTTGGTCGGTGCTGGTGTATGTTTGTACTTGTGTGCTGGTGGTTGGTGGGGTGGGTGTGCTGGTGATGCGCTGGTGGTTGCTTGTTGGCGCGATGTCCCGCGTTCGGCTTTCTTTTTACCTACCACGAACGCGGCAATTAAAACATATTCGTAACGTAAGTCGGCGTAAATCAAAGCATCAGTGAACATAACTCTTACTTAACCGAAATCTTAAGCAACATCCTAAATGTTGAGGCACGGCTATGCTTAAACACTCGTTGGTTCAAATTCGAATGCAAACGGATATACATATAAATCTATAGCAGGCCCAATCAAAGACAGCTCGTATAGAACTAAAGAAGTAGTATACATAAACTGTCTCGGATTAGCCTGCTCTTTAATCATCCTAGTATGATTATACGCAGCGTTCGCATGCGAATGTCCGCATAGAAATAAGATAACCACCGCGGGCCGTAGAGCAGGAGCTCCGCGAAGCCTCTGGGGATATCTGGAAAGCCTCCGGTGGCCTCCAGGGAGCTCCAGAGACCTGCATGCTCGGCGCCGTCGTTAGCCTGTCAGGGCGCGCGCGTGCAGCGCCAACGAGTCCTTGGCGGCCAGCGCCGAGCGCTCTCCGGCTGGCCGCTCGTCGCCGTCGTCGTCGCCGTCGTGTACTTGTCGTTGAATTTTTCGGACGACCCTGGATGCTCTGAATTTGTCCTGGATTCTGGCCCCTGAGGGCCTTGGCTCTGTCGGGGCAAGGCGGAATCCTTGAAAGGTAGTGCTTCTGAAATTGTCGCTGCAAAATCCAAACCATCCTGAGGCCTGAGAGGCTCAAGGGAAGCGCACAGACAAAGTCTTCAAAAACCTGCAATTTTCTCTGGGCTTGGATGCGTCCGGGAAGACTCCTGGGAGCCTCTTGGGAGCCTCTTGAAGCCTCCGAGGGTCATCTCGAGCTATCCAGGACCGTCTGTAAGCCATCTGGGGCCGTCTTGCGACCTCGAGGGCAAGTACAAAAACTCAGTGGACACACACGTTTCTGTGAAACTATTGACAACGACTCACAGGGGTTCGTACGTGCCAGGGTAAAAAATGGTTTGAAGATTTAAGAACACAGAACGCACGCCCCAAAGGGATCGCAAGTGTCAGGCTCCAAACGCACAATGTCTTTATAACGATTTTTCAAAAATTCGGACGACCCCCAGCACGGAGATCGCATGTGGTCAGGGCGAAGAAGCTGCATGCTTGTTCAAAGAATTCTGGCTTGGGGAGCGCAGGAATTCGCGGGCCCAACGGGCCAGAGGCGGGCTAAGATCTCCGGTAACTGGTTCACAATATTTCTAGTTCGCGCGCGCGGGGCGGCCCCTGGGGGTCCCCGGACGAAACGTACCCCGGCAAGGTCCTGGGAGGAGCCACCAGAGCACTCCAGGGGAGGGCCATTTTTCGACATCCCTCACGAGGATGGTGGCTTCCGAGGGGGGAGCCGCAATCGACTACCCCCCCTCCCGTCCTAAGAGGCCTCCAAGAGCCCGAAGAGGCCTCCAAGATGGCCCAAGGGGGCCCCAAGAACGCTCTAAGAGAAGCCCCAGAGGGGGAACACGAAACAACATGTCGAGCCCTCGGCCCTGAGAAGCCCCCAGGAGGCGCCAAGAGGCCCCTTTGAAGCCCCAGGAGGCCCCCAAAAGGCCCTCACGCCCCCAAGAAGCTCCCAAGCGGCTCCCAGAAGCCCAAAGATGCTCCCAAATGCTCCCAAAGGAGCTCCAAGAAACCCCAAAGAGGCTCCAACAGAAACCCAAGGGGCCCCCAAGAAACCCCCAACGAGGACCCCAAAAAGCTCCCAAAAACCCAAACGCCAGCGAGAGCCCGAGGGCACAATACGGGCCGGCGGGATGATCGAAGCGATTAAATAATTCACACATAGGGTTTTTACATTCCATACCACCAATACTAATGTGTTCAGTCAGTATTGTTTGTCTGTTGTGTCAATGGTTTTACACAAGCCTGTGTGCTCATTGTTTCGTTTTCGGGGCCAGACGAAATTGCAACGCCACCGTCGTCCCAGCCAGGTACGAAAACAAGGTCACTCGTCGGACACCAAAACGACAACAGCAGCAACACCAACCTAAATGAAACCACAGACTTCTGCGACACCGTCGGTAAACAATCGCAAGAACAAGTGTCCCTTACGGGCC